CCTCCCTCATGAACCCTTGATAATTCATACATTATTATTATTTTGTCATGTCTTACACTGTCTGATGTCTCCCTTCATCCCCTTTTCTGTTGTGGGGGGAGGGTCTTTACTGAATTTGCAATTCTGATAGCCCGAGGTTCTGTGTTCTGCCCCAGAGTGAGCAGGAATCCTCAGACCTGGGAACTTCAGCTGCACTGTCAGGAAGGTAGGGAGCCCAGCCCCAGAACTCAGGAGTGGAGTCTCGGGAGGTGGGAGATGGAAGCGTGTGGAAGGGAAGTGGAATGCTGGGAAAATTGTGCCAAAAGTAACTGGATTCTGCTCAGGGCCACAGAAGACCAAGCCTGATGGAATGGGAGGAAAATGTGGAACAAACCCAAAGTCTTCAAAAGCCTAGACTTAGTGGATCATGGAGAGAAGAGGACTTCCCGGACTATCCCCGAGTTACCCACAGCACCCCGGGAGGTCATCTTGGAGCTAAGTAGTGGACTGCCTCCGTAAATAAAGACTGCCACCCATGAGCTCAGCGCCCTTCTAAGCAATCATTGACAGGAGACCTGGGCCAGCAGCACTCTGGAACAAAGGGACATGTGACAAGCAGAAGCTACTGTGGCCCAGGCACCAGATGCTCAGAAATGGAAGCACGTGTGGAAATAGTGAGAAAGCTGACACTTTGTGGAAAATGTAACCAACGCCCATGAGCAACTTCCTACATGGGAGCCTAATTTGCTGTGTGAGCTCTCACCAAAAACACAGTAAAATATTATATTAAAAAAAAAAAAGGCCGAAAAAAGAGGAGTTGACACCAAGGGCTCAAACAGAAAGAAAATAGTTTGAAAATGATGATGGCAACATATGTACAAATGTGGTTGATACAGTGGATGTATGGGCTTTTATAAGAGCTGTAAGAGCCCCCAATAAAATGATTTATTCAAAACAAAACAAAACAAAAACAATGACTAGAGGGTTGTAAGTCCTTAAGCGTTAAGGCAGGCCTGGCGGGCACCCCCAGGTAGGGCAGGCTGCCTGAGGCCCCACCCCCACCCCCAGCCCCGTCCTCACCTGCCCAGGAAGTCATCCCTGTCAGGGTCCTCGTCATACAGGTCCACCTCCAGGTCCTGCCCAGGGACTTCGTGCACTAGGAGCTGGAGGGAGAGAGAGCTGTTGGGGCGTGCACGTGCACGCTGAGGTGGCACACCACAGGAGGCCCCTGGCAGGTTCCTGCCCTCCCCAGGGCCTCAGCCAGGGCCTATGAGAGGGGAGCGTGGGGGCCTCCCCTGTGGGGCATGAGCGGGATTAGAGACCGTGCAAGCCCACGCGCAGTGAGGAGGCAGTAGCTGCTGTGTCCCTCACTGTTGCTTCCAGAACACGTTCCCTTCGATCCTCCTGGGCCCCTGGATCTGGGATACCCAGAAACTGCCTTTCATCACCCCGCTTTCACTAGCACACTCGGGGTGTAGGGGAGCTTCCAGATGGCACGCTGTGAGGAGAGGAGGTGTCCCTGGAATGTGCGCTCTGAGGGGCCTTCTTGGCCTTCGCAGCCGGGAGTCTCCCCCTTTCGCGACTGGCCGTAGGAAGAGCCCAGACTCCTGTGTGTGCTTCTGGCAGAGGAGGCTGAGAGGAACGGGGCAGAGCCTCTGCCGCCTTTGCCTTTGATCTAGAACCTTCCTTCCAAGGATCTGAGGAGCCCTGGTGGTGTAGGGGCTGCACATGGGGCTGAGGTCCTCCAGGCCAGCAGTTCGAAACCACCACCAACTCCATGGGAGAGAGGCAGGGCTTTCTACTCCTGTACACAGCGACAGTCTCAGAAACTCACAGGGGCAGTTCCACCCTGTCCTGTGCAGTTGCTGAGGGTCAGTATTGACGCGATGGCAGTGAGTTTCCAACCATCTGACGGGGGGCTGGGGGAAGAACCACCTACAAACTGGCTGGGCCTCCAGCAGGCCCAGACTGCCCACCTGGGGGAGCCTGGGGGTTCTGCTCGACCTCACCAAGGGCAAGGGCCTTCTCAAGTCCAATGCTGCCCCCGGGGAACCAGGACCAGTACCTGGTAGAGTGGTGCTTGAAGGGCATCAAGGACAGACACAGGAGGCTGAGCAGACCCTCACCTCAAACACCTCATTCCAAGTGGGGTTCAGGTTCTTGTAGATGGTCCTGCTCCGGAACTGCTGTAGGCCAATGCTCACCTTGGCATAGGGGTCTGACTTGCCTCGGATCCCCAGGAAGTGGTCCATCTGGGCCAGGTTTTCTGCCTCCAGCAAGTGGATTCTGATCACCCCCTGGAAAGTGTCACAGCTTGGGGTCACAGCCACTCCCTAGGCCCGCCAGCCCTCATAGCCCGGACCACCATGGCCACTCCCCCATCACTCCCCCACCCCCACCCTTCAAAAGGTCTGGATGGGGATACAGAAGCCAGAGAAGCTAGGGCACGTGGCAGGGGACGGCAGGACCCAGGGTGCTGTCCACTACTAGGTACCCGCTCACGTCCCTGCTGCCCCTGCCTGGAGCCTGCCCCCTGAAGGAGTGCTTCTTCCACAGCCATCTCATCCTCCTGTGGCACCAACTGGGCAGGCCCTGGGTGAGCTGCCTCTGGAGCCCCAGTGGCACTTCTTCCTGATGGCCAGGTGTGCACACTGCTGTGGGCAGGGCGCCCACACGCTCCGTGTCTCACCCCTCTGCCCCTGGGCTGTGGCACACTTTCCCCACACTCACACAGATGGGTGCTAAAATAATTAAAATGCTAACGTTATCAAGGAACAGGGATTGGGGTGGGGGTGGGGGGTTGAGAAAACCACACAGTTGGTGAGCCTAAGGTGGACCTCCTGTCTAGAGCTATTGGATATTCTCTAGAGCTACGCGAGCCAACCTCACAAGGCATTGATTGTGAGTGGGCGCAGGTGGCGGTGTTTTGTGTCATTCTGTTGTACATAGGGTCGCTATGGTCAGACCGGACCGGACAGCACCTGGCAATAGTGGCAGCAAGGGAGACCTCCTCTCCAGAGCCACTACTCTTCCAGATGTCTGTCAACAGATGTGCATCTCTCCTGTGACCCCAAAACCCCGCTTCCCAGAATCTGCTAACCAAATGTAAAGCCACGCGCCCAACACCATGTGCAATAGCAAATAACAAGACCGTCGGTCATAACGAAAGACCAGCTGCAACTGCGCCTCCACAGGGAACCAGTTAATGACACAGGACCCTATTACAGCCCCACTGGATTAATACCAGGAGCCCGGTGCTACAGTGGTAAAGTGTCCAGCTGTTGACCGCAATCTCATCATTGGAAACTACTAGCTGCTCCTCGAAAGAAAGATCAGGGAATCTATTTCAGGAAAGGCCACAGCCCTAGAAATGGGATGGGATCTACTTCTACAATGGCCACAGCCCTAGAAACCAGATGGGATCTCTTTCAGGAAAGGCCACAGCCCTAGAAACGGGACGGGATCCACTTCTGGAATGGCCACAGCCCTAGAAACGGGACGGGATCCACTTCTGGAATGGCCACAGCCCTAGAAACGGGACGGGATCAGTACACAGCAACAACGAATCCACGTGCTGAAGCACTGACTCTCAGCAACTGACAGCACCACCAAAGAGCCAGAGGACGTGGAGGGCCTCCCTACACAAGCCGCCTATGAAGCAATCTGGCCAAGAGACTGACTTGAATGAGTCACCCTGCTTCTAGAAGCGTCTCCCAGCCGAAGGAGCCAGAAGACCACAGCGATGCAATGACCACACAGGGTTAGCTCGCGCCACAGCACTCCGGCCGTCAGGAGACCTGCCCCCCCCTCACCAGCCCGTGTTCCTCGGCACAGGGCCAGGCACTCACACAGGGCAGGGGGAAGCGCAGGTTGGTCACGTCCAGTCCTTTCTTTACGGGAACAGTCACTCGATTGGGCAGCACCAGGTGGGCAGCGATGAGGTCCTCCAGTAGGCTGTCTGACACCTCACTAGGGATACCATCAGCCCAGGCTGTGCAGAGTACACGTCCCCACACCCCCTGCCCCACCTCCCGAGCCCAGAGCTGGAGCTAGGGGCAGTGCTGGGCAGGGAGGGCCAGACCCCGGCCAGCCTGGGGTGGGCGAGTGTGTCTGGGTGTTGTTACATGCGTCGTGGGATACATGTTGACCATCCCTGACTTAGGCATCTATCAACATAGGGAACGGGTGTGAGGGGGAGGACCTGTGTGGGTCCCCTGTGAGACCTCCGGCAAATCCCTTACCTCTGGACCTCAGTGCCCTCCCCTCTAAAGTGGGGGTAGGCTTGTTACAGGGTTCTGTAGTTAGGAGCAGGGTGCTGGGAGCAGTGTGAACAGGTGATGAAGGCTGGCTGCTGTAGCAAGCCCACGCCCGATACAGCATCTTAATGCTGGTCATTGTACCATCTGACCCTTGTCCCCGGACTAGGAAGACAGGGAGGTGGCCTTAGTGCCAGATGGTACACTGTAGGTGTGATTTGGCTAGCTATATGTGCATGGTTGAGTGTGCCTGCCCCTCAACACTGTCAGCTTCTCATGCCTCCCCTACTACCTTCCTCTCTATGCCCCCTCCTCAGGCAGGGAGAGTGGGGGGACACGGCCACACGCTGAATAACCGAGCCTCCCGCCCGCAGCTGCCCTCACTTGATTCCGGGTGCATCCAGCAGGTTGGTGAGGCCCGTCCAGTTGATCTGCAGGTGCTGCCGGCAGAGGGGGGCTGTCAGGCAGGAAGGTGCTAAATGGAGAACCCAGCCTACTCGGGGATGGGGGGAGGCGGACACCCCCTCATCAGGTGAGGCTCCTCCAGCCTCTCAGGCCTGTAAGTGGGGGCTGGACTCCGGGGCATGCTGCTTCCTGCCGGGAACACCACCCTGGCCCAGGGCTTGGAGAGGTCCGAGTTTCAGTGTCCAGGTTCCTCCAGGCCTCCTGGGGGACCATGGCCAGCTACTCCTCGGTCTCCCCGTATTGGGGAGAAGAGTCTAGCTCCTGGAGGGGTCCGTCTTAAGGACTGAGTGAGTCACGCATCCAGGACACGGAGCTCAGCCCCGGGTGGGGGCCACAGCCTCACCGGCTTCTGCAGGAAGAACACGGTCACAGCTCCCACGAAGGGTTTGTCCACCAGCAGGGGCTCTAGGATGATCCGCAGGGTGCCCTGCAACTGGACGGCACGTGGGCATGAGGGACCTTTCTCCTGGGCCTGCTGCAGTCCCAGCTCCTGCCCCACTCCCAAACCTAGGGCCACCCTCCACGGCCAAGGGGCTACCCCAGCAGAGACAAGGCTGGCATCTAGCTGCCACCCCAAGCGACCCCTGAGCTGTGCCTCAGGGAGCCTGCCCAGTGCCCAGCAACCCAGGGAAGATTTCCGGCTCCGGCTCAGCTCCTTGGTAGTGGTATGCGGCTACGCTCCCACCTCCTCCATCCACCCCAGCATCCAGGCTGCTCTGCCCTGTTCTGTGGCCAGGCCCTCTGTTGAAGGCAGAACACCAGGCCAGAGCCCAGCACCACCACTTCCTGGCTGAGCAATCACAGCCTGATTCCTCCGTCACCACCAGCCTCTGGGCTTGGTGTCCACTCCCGAACAGGCCGGAGCAGGGTCAGCACCCACCTGGATCCCGTTTACACCGGCCTGTATTTTCTGCAGCTCCACGCTGATCTCACAGTCCCCGATGTAGCTGGAGGGAGGGCGGGAGGGAGGAAGGTGAGGAAGAGGGGCAGATCCAACTGCACAAAGAGGTCAACAAACCTACCCAGAAATCACACAGCCTAGGCGCAGGCAGCAGCCCACCATCCTGCTCCCAGGGCTTTCTCCTGCACACCCCACCGCTGACCTCGAGGGAGTGGCTCCAGGTACCCCCTGAGCCCATAGGCCCCAGTGATAAGGAGGGGATCAGGTGAGCATGCTGCCTCCCCCAGCCCCACACCCTGCCTCCCACCACACACACACTGCTGCCAGGTCTCCTCCAGAGAGGCCAAGCTGCTTAAACCAGCCCTTCCTGTGGGAAAGCCCCAGGCTAGTGGCAGGCTCATAGCGACCCTCAAAGACAGGGGAGGACTCCCCTGTGGGTTTCTGAGACTGAGGCTGGTTGGCATCTCTTGTCAGGTGGTGGACATGGGGGTGCCCGGAGAGTGTGGAGCCCCTCACAGTGAACCACCCCGAGGGCTAGGAGGTTCTGTTGGACTAAGGGGACTGCGGATGGGATCAAATCTCATCAGGATGCAGGGGGAGGATCTGCATGCCAGGTGCCGTGGGAGGGCAGGCACCGTGGGTGAGCAGGGGGTGGCGGTGGAGGGATGTGTGTGTTGGTTGTGCTCAGGGGCCACCGGAGTTGACCAAAGGCTGAAGGGACCAGATGTCCTCAATGCACCTCAACTATGCATATTCGGATCTCATAGAGGGTCTCAGGACAGGGGGTCTTCAAGCCCCCACCATTCCAACATGCTTGAGATCAGCGGCCCAGTGGGGAGGGGTGTGCCCAAAGCTGGCTCCCATCATCCCAGCATGCCTCTGGACTCAGGACAGCCTTCCGGAACCTCAGGTGTGTCCTTTGTCCTTTAAGATACAAGTCAAATCGCACATCCTCTGGGAAGGCAGCAAGCCTCTTAGGAACTTCATTCAAAAGAGGTGCCCTCACCGAACCCGCCCAATAGTCCCTCTCTGGAGTCTTTGCGGCCTCCAGTTTTCCTGCTGGGCCCCACTGGGCCTGGACACACCCGCTCCCAGGAGGCAGCTAAGAAGCTAGATCTGGCTGAGGCCGGGAGCAGCAGCCAGTGCTGGGTCCATCCGTTCGCCTGGCACTTCTCCCCACAGCTGCCCAGGGCCGGGGTCACTGCGAGAGTCTCCAGTTCCTACTCAGAATGCACACATGCAACTCCTGCTTCAAACTG